AAAGAGTGAAAAATTTAAGGGGGTCTGAATACTTTCCGTACCCACTGTATATATATATGATTGTGTGTAAATGAATGATTATCTACATCAGCTAAACCCAAAAACAGCAAAATCAAGCCCATACAGCAATTACACAATTCTTTTGCTACTAAATCCTCACATAGTTACAGTTATAGTAGCATGAGGAGCTGAATGGACAAGATCTTGAGAAGGCCCTTCATTTTCTGAATGTAATGGAGCATGAAATGTGTAGGGTATCAGACCGAATCAGACAATTTAAGATTTGATAAAGAACAGTTGAAACACGAGGAGCCGAATTCCACAGAGGCCCAAGACACAGGATGTTCGTAACTAAATTGACCTGTTTCCCTTACAAATGCCAGGATATAATGTGGTACCCACACCAAGCTTTTTAACCCATCTGCAGACATCAACTATGTGAGTTATGCCTGGTGAGCTGAAAAAGAATAAGGGCCTAAGCATCGACCCTTGTGGTACCCCAGTGGCAAAGGTGCATATGGTAAGCAATAAGAACCTGTCCAGTTTACAAGATGAGACCTGTTGTATAGGCAGCATACAAACCACTAAAGCACTAACAGAGAATGCCAGTGTCTGCTGGTCTAGAAGTCAGACAGTATAGTGTCAGACAGACTGATGCATAGAAATAGCATTTGTTGCAGAGTTTTGCTACACCATTCTAGTCAATGATTTGCTACACAAACTTGATTGAAGAATGGAAAGCAACATAAAAAGACTGACTAGTTTTGTAGTCTGACTGACAGAGGACAAGCAGCACAGCTTTAGTCACGAATGGAAGAAATTAGGTTTCATATATCAAAAGTCTGGAAATTGTTTTTTTTGTTGTTGGAGTATTGGGATTATGCATGCTATCTTCATCTGAAGGAACCGTGTAGATTGAAAATCATTTGGTGGAGAGTGGTAGAGCATATGATTGTGTATTCAAGTGGTACTATTGAATATGTTAAGGTTATATGACTTGCAGCACTGTTACCATTAACTAAAACTAAAACTATTAAAAATTGTTTTCAGTAATTAAAATAAAGCTGAAAAAATAAAATATAAATATTAGAAAAACTTAAACTTGAAAATTAGTTACTAAAGTTACTAAAATTGAAATAAAAATAAAGGCAAACCAGAAATATATTTAAAAAATAATCAATCAACAACCAATACTGTAATAATATATAAATATTACTAAAATAACACTGCTTACTTGCACTGTGGGAGGTTTGTGGCACTAAGAGAGCACTGCCCGTTAGCACAGTATCCTTCACATGTATAACAGCTTGGCTGGATTTTGCCACTGGTACACCTATAACACACAGTGAACATATGCACATCAGTAATATAAAAAACACAAGCCAACAAACACACAAACAAGAAAACAAAAAAGAATTATGAGTCAGCACCGATAGCCTTGTGGGCAGCACACTGACATACAGCGATGTTGCTCTATGGGTGACCCGAGTTCGAATCCCGCTTGAGGACCTTTCCCGATCCCGTCCCCCTCTTTCTCTCACACTTCACTTCCTATCAACTCTGATCTGTTCTATCATAATAAAGTGAAAAACTCCAAAAAAAAGAATCATGAACAGTAAAGTTTTCAACCATCAGGGTGCGTGTCAGGAGAGAACAACACTGCTACAGTGCAAACAAACAGGTGTTGTCTTTAACCACTGTGAAAAACCATTGTCTCAATATGGCAGGAGAGGGTTTGAAAAGTAAGAGGATAACGTCAGCTCCAGATGTTCCAGTGGTAACTCAGTTTTCAAAGCATCAAATCGATATCAACAATAGATGCAACTGAACAGCAAAGCCTCGTTGCAGATGCTGTGAGTGAAAAGATGTAGGATGCCCTTTTGGGCGTGTGCAGTGTATTATATAGGGAATGAATTGGGCTAATTTTATTTTATTAGTCGCGAAAAAAAAAAATCCACATTGGCGAAGTCACGCAGTCCTTGACGGACAGATCGTTAACGGCTGGTCTATGTGGTAATATAGTACTCGGGCAGGACATCCAAATGCTCGCCTATCATTCATCGACCTCAAATATGACTTTTCATCTGAGATATGTTAGTAGCAGCAACTTTACATGGCTGCTCAATCTAATGTTAACCTAAGGAAATGTGTGCTGTTGAAGTGTCTGTGCGGAGTGTGGAGCTGAACAGCAGCGCTCACTGCAGGACAGATGGAGGCGCCAGTGCGCTCACTTGCTCTTAAAATACTCCGTCATTTTTGGTCATACAAATAAGAGCAATACATCTTTAGAATCTGTAAAGACTCTACGTTTAATTGTGTGCTCTCACAGTAACAACAACTCAACCAGGATACGCTTTCTTTATGTCTCGGTCTCTGTGAACTTGAGTGATCATATTTATGATTTAAATGGTTTATTAATAAATGTGTGATTAGTCGGCAAATGCTTCAAATGAACGACTACTAGTCGACCAGAAAAATCTTTAGTCGAGAGCAGCCCATTTTTGCACTTCTAGATCTATCATCCGGAGTCAATATATATATATTTTTTGTGAGTGTGTTTTTGGATAAATGCCTGGAATAAGGTCTGTGTCAAGATATTTTCATAATTTTATGCTATGTAATACCTCACTCGTAAATTAAACTTTACGCGTTTTGAAAAAGACGGTTGTTAACAAGAGTCTAAACAGGACTACTGAGGTTGTCGGGGACAGGTAAACCTATGTACTCACTAGTCAGTTTCACAGCCTTGTTGTGTTTACATTCACACTCTTGCAAACTGTCCCAACCTTTCAGGGAAAGTGTTTTTTTAAATACTGAAAGAGTTCCTAAAGCTTATTGATGGTAATGTTGAAGTCAACTGACTGTGGTGTGGTTCATTTAACTTAATTCTGGCAATTGCATTTAGCCTTCAAAATTAAAACAAGTTGTGTTCATTTGTAAAGATTATAATGATGAATAAAACATGTAAGAATCATTTGACCAACTGTTATATAGCCATTAAGGCCTGATTATAAAGGGCCTCTGGATTGGCCACACAATAGCCATTTCCCGTATCAAGATGTTGAACGAGCCAATTGAAAGAGAATTGAGATTAAGAAAGTAAATGGATCAATTTTAATTCTATGTAGCCCTAACATTTGTATATGTTTACTAGAGCATGAGATTGTGTACCTGCATGTAACATCTCCATGCGGCTGGTAGATGTTGGTGGGAATACACTTTCCATCACGGCAATAGTGACACTTGTCCACTTCACAGTTGTTGCCGATGAAGCGTGGAGGGCAGCTGCATTGTCTCGACCCATCGCTGGACTGCATACATGTCCCTCCATGAACACAGACTCCATCACATATCCCTGTTAGAGAAGTAGAGGACACTGATTAACATCCCACTTAGTTTCTTCATCAAGGCTTGAGGATCACCTTTAGACCCTGTTCACACCTCACATGCTAATGCATCCTGACACCTTTTTAATTATCCAATGTGTGGGTTTAATATGAAACATTTGTCCACTGGAAATGGCTGAAATGGAAAGACTTAAACAATTGCTCATTTTTTTCTGTAGTACTTACGATATTGGCACTGGTCTCCCAGGAAGTCTGCAGGGCAGCTGCAGGTGGGCTGGTTTCCACGATTAACTGTGCAGTTTCCTCCATTCTTACAGTAGTTCTCGCATGTGCGCTGGTTACAGTTGGGTCCTGTGAAGCCTGCCAGACAACGGCAAGTCGGAGCTCCTGAAAACATTACAAGACAAGTTATTTTTGTTTTATTAATGTTATTATAACATAATAAACCTTTTGCACGTCAACATCATCTTTAGCCACCATTACTACAAACATGGAAGTGGAGAGATCGGCGAGTCAGGTGAGCCCAGAAGCAGGTGAGCAATGTTTCCCAGGATTCACTGACATGCTGTACAGCAGTGTTATGTCAGATTAGACACGTGAGAAGATATTTAAAGCCCATATGGTGTGTTTTTGTGGTACTGTACCTGTGGGTGATGCGGTACACGTTCCTCCATTCTGGCAGTACTCTCTGCACTGGTTTAGCTCACATCGCTCTCCTCCATAGTTGGGCTGACAGCGACACTTGGGTTGTTTTCTGGCATTCAGGACACAAGTTCCACCATTTAGACACAGCAGATTACAGGGGCCACTCGGAGCTAAGGGAAGACAAAGACACAGATAAAAAGAGCTTGTTTTATAAGAGGTCAACCCAAGTGAACAATCCATTTTATTTCCATAATGTGACATTTCAGAGTCAATCTTGATATTCAACCAGAATAAAATGTAGAATTGGACTTAATTTGATAGCTATTTTTTGATGGTTAAAAGTGGGTGCTACCAGCCAAACCGAAATTATGCCAAACCAAATAGTTAGTTTGCTAAAACAATACCTAAAAGCTATTTTGCCACTGGATAACATTATCCAATAACCCATGCGGACTAAGTGACCTCAGTGGAAAAGTCATCTCTACCCAAACATTTTCTTTCTTTGGGATAACATGCACAAATGGATCGTTAATAATAAGACCAGAAATAAAGGAATTTCAATCAATCTGGAGAGGTTTAATTACATGCCGACTTTAAATCATTTCCTTGATGAACGCAGTGGCGGACATCAGTGAATTGACATCGCTGAGCTCTACTGTTTGAGCTACCGGAACACTATTGTCTTTGTCCACACTCCAAGCCCAAATTCACTCCTATAGAGGGTTTCATAGGGTGCACGTGCCTGGCCCGAAGATAACTTCCGGTCTGTGTTTGTTCATCGTCTGGCTAGTGGCACCGACTACAAACGCAGTTAAAGTTAAGGAGATGAGTAGACTGATGTTGAGCTCAGGTTGTTGTGTTGTGGGATGCAATGTCTCCCATACACTGATTTATTTGTGGCGTCCCGCCACAATATCAAAACTGACCACCACAAATAGATTTTCCAAAAGGCTTTAACATGGCACTGGTGTTTTTATATCACTGTATCGCTGACGGAAACCGACTGTCCTCAGAACATTTTCCATTTCATTTTCATTTCATCTTGCATATAATGTCTGATAAAGCAGCGTTTGTGAGCGGAGCGCTGCTTTGTGGACAGACGTCACTGGGGAAACCTCTATTTCTGCCGCTCCAAAAGCACCTCCTGCTGGCAGAGGATGAATTTGCATTTCCAATAAGCCCATCTGATTTATGCAGCAAACATATTTTGCTTGTTATCAGAAATAATCTACTCTAGAGGGACTTTGCTGTTGTTATTGATTCTTTGCGGAAGTCTACTGGAAGTGAAGTTTGGGCCACAAAAGCGCGCACGCACACTAACGTTTGTTTATGTTGTTGCCATTGAAACCGTCTATATCTTCTCCCTGCTTCCTTAGAAAAACTCACCCTGCTGACAACAAAGTGAATTCACTTTGTTGTCATTTATCCTCCTCCAGGTCAACTAAACAAATTCCTTGAGGAACTATGCATGCTGCAGCTGAATTCATGCAAGCAGCTGAATTCTTAGTCCTTGTGCAGACATTACAAGACAGCGTGCCCTTGCGACAACAAAGCAGGCAGAGCTAGACCTCATCCTTACCTATACCAGTATCATTAACAACCATCGTGTCACAACTTACATTTCTCTGACCACTTCTTTTCTGGTTTTCTGTCATTCTCCTTTCATGCTTTGGATACTTCCAATGCCCTTTTTGCCAGAAAGTGTCTTCAAACTACTAAAGATGGCCCATGACCTCACTCAGCCCAGGTCTCACCACCTGCTTCTGCTTGCATCCAATTCAAGACTCTGACGCTATCTCAGTTCATTCCTACTAGCACATGCTCGCTCCCACCATTTACCCTCAGTGAACCAGTGGTGCCTGGTTGTTCCATCACAATCAGAAACAAAATCACTTTTCAAAATCTTCACACTTTCTGTTCTGCTGTGGTGAAGCGAACCACCAGGCTCCACCCGATCTGCTGAAACTAACTTTCTGTTTCAAATCAGATGAAGACACATCTCTTCCATAAGCACTTATTTACAACCTTATTTACAATCAGAATTCAAGGCACTTGCAAAAACAACTCTTCTCAAACTATATTTACAGCGGAAATTATGTGCATGTGTGGGAACCAGTGTTGGGGAGTATCTAGCTACAATTAGCGATGCTACTAACGTAACTACATTTTTCAGTAGTGTGACAGTAGCTCAGCTACTTTTAAAACAGTGTAGCTTTTCCAGTAGCTAACTACTTTTTCCAGCAAGTAGCAGTGTAGCGTGACCAAAAGCTACATTCCTTTTTGCGTTCTGACCAAAATCCCTTTCAAGAAAAGTCTGTTCACTCAGCGGCCATATTTGTAACGCCTCCGGGCAGCTCATACAAGACCAAGTCCTATCTACTGTAAAAGAATGGGGGAATCCTGAAATCTCGACGTATTTCCAGCTGAAACGGAATATTGAATAGAGGGCATGGTTTTATTTTTGCGTTGCTCCTCTCGGTCTCTCACTCATAGCAACCTAACGGTTAGAGGGGTGTGTTTATATTCTGCCCAAGCCGTCAAACTGTCGTCATCAGAGAAGGAATGCCATTCCAGAACGGAAGCAAATGTTCAGAGTTTGATTAAAGATTACCAAGACAAACACTTTTTTTGAGCGGATTAACTTGCACGGATTAATTGTTCACATCAAGACTAGCAATGTGCGCTAATAAAGTAAATAAAGTCAATTTTGATTTCATGCGGACTTTAAGCTACATATTTCAAATCAGCAACAAAATCTGAAATGAACTGCCCCATGAATGTTGTTTCTTATGCTCAAATAGCGTTTAAAAGGCTTATTTTTCAGGCTAGACCAGCCAATGTGCATGCGCAGTCATAAGCGCATTATGACTGCGCATGCACATTGGCTAGTCTAGCCTCAGGTTCTATGGGAACCGCTACAGTGACGCAATGACTTTACCAATCAACGATTGGATTTTTCATTTGAAAGGTGGGACTATTCCGCCATATTGCGTGTTGCAGTTTCTCCCATTCATAAGTATAGGAGTGAACCGTCTTTGTATTTCTATAGTCTTTGGTTCTAACGAGTCGCGAGCCTGTAATACAGCACAGCGTCTTCTTCTGACTAGATCACAAACTAAATTTGTTCATTTCCGCCATCTGTTGTGATATCACACATCTCCCGGCTTTACAGTCTGTCCACCGACAAGAGATCATCTGATGATTTTGCAAAGGATGTACAGGAGTGGATATTTCACATGAATCAACTGTAGTTCATGCAAAACAAAGATTAAAAAGCGGTCTATGTCGAAGACTTAAAGGGGTGGTTGATTGCGATTTCACTTTTTTAACGTTAGTTAGTGTGTGATGTTGCTGTTTGAGCATAAACAATATCTGCAAAGTTGCAGCGCTAAAAGTTTAATGCAAACGGAGATATCGTCTTTTAAAATTCTGGCAGTTTAATGCCTACAAAAACGGCTCGTAGGGACTACAATATTTGTAACGCCTCCGGGCAGCTCATACAAGACCAAGTCCTATCTACTGTAAAAGAATGGGGGAATCCTGAAATCTCGACGTATTTCCAGCTGAAACGGAATATTGAATAGAGGGCATGGTTTTATTTTTGCGTTGCTCCTCTCGGTCTCTCACTCATAGCAACCTAACGGTTAGAGGGGTGTGTTTATATTCTGCCCAAGCCGTCAAACTGTCGTCATCAGAGAAGGAATGCCATTCCAGAACGGAAGCAAATGTTCAGAGTTTGATTAAAGATTACCAAGACAAACACTTTTTTTGAGCGGATTAACTTGCACGGATTAATTGTTCACATCAAGACTAGCAATGTGCGCTAATAAAGTAAATAAAGTCAATTTTGATTTCATGCGGACTTTAAGCTACATATTTCAAATCAGCAACAAAATCTGAAATGAACTGCCCCATGAATGTTGTTTCTTATGCTCAAATAGCGTTTAAAAGGCTTATTTTTCAGGCTAGACCAGCCAATGTGCATGCGCAGTCATAAGCGCATTATGACTGCGCATGCACATTGGCTAGTCTAGCCTCAGGTTCTATGGGAACCGCTACAGTGACGCAATGACTTTACCAATCAACGATTGGATTTTTCATTTGAAAGGTGGGACTATTCCGCCATATTGCGTGTTGCAGTTTCTCCCATTCATAAGTATAGGAGTGAACCGTCTTTGTATTTCTATAGTCTTTGGTTCTAACGAGTCGCGAGCCTGTAATACAGCACAGCGTCTTCTTCTGACTAGATCACAAACTAAATTTGTTCATTTCCGCCATCTGTTGTGATATCACACATCTCCCGGCTTTACAGTCTGTCCACCGACAAGAGATCATCTGATGATTTTGCAAAGGATGTACAGAAGTGGATATTTCACATGAATCAACTGTAATTTATGCAAAACAAAGATTAAAATGCGGTCTACACTGAAGACTTTAAGCACATACAGGAGGTGAATAATAGCCTTTTTAAACGGATTAATTTTCCTGCTTAATTGCACTCTATATAAAAATATCTGTCCCCCCACAGAAAACAAAATCGTGATATAGTAGTGTGCTTATCATTTGGCAAAGGATGATTGCGGTGTGATTCACGCAAAGCGCAGGTGTTCACGCGCGCAGCTGATGATTGACATCTCAGAGCGGCTCCATTCACAGTCAGTAAATACCACATGTGCTGTGAGCTTAACCTGCCTATTTTACGACTCTTCCGATCCAGTTTAAGTTGCATAAAGTTTGCTCTTGCTTTGATGTTACGTTTGTAGCTATTTCAACTTTGACAGTCAGTTTGAGACAATATAACTATATTTTATTATTGTGTGTATCGGATAGTTTACAAAACCAAACGATTGGGACACTTTTGTCATTGAAATGACTTGGAAAAAGTGTCCCAATCAACCTGAATTCACCCTACTCTTTGAAATAATGATTGCATTACAATATGTTGTTTTAAACCCCACATATTTTACTTATAACTTCATTATAATTCTTCATTAACAGCTATTCAGTTATTTGTAATGTCAATTGTAAATAACAATTAATTAATTAAATAAAAAATAATTGAAAGTAGTTTTAATGTAGCTAGCTTCTTTTTGATAGTAACTTGTGTGCTAGCTACTTTTTCAGAAGGGTAGCTGGAAATGGAGCTTAACTACTTTAATTTATGAGAAGCTTGTAGCTGGTCAAGCTATAGTTTCAGAGTAGCTTCCCCAACACTGATGGAAACTATGATTATTTTGCAGTTTCGTTTTATTTCCAAACCATTCTATTATTCTTGCACCTTTGACTGCCACTCTGCTCTTATGTGTCCTCACTCCTGTCACTGACTGCACAGCACAGGAACGCACTGCGCCAGTCATACTGCACCACAGCCTGTCACACTGACTAAGCCATTAGTGTTCATTCAACAAATACCACATGAAACTGCAGCATCTGTTTCCCTTTTCCAAGCGATTTGAAAGGTCACAATACTCACAGACAGGGGACAGCGTTGGGGTGGGAACCTCCACGCAGGTGCCATTATCCAGTATTCTGCCGTTGGGGCACATGCAGACTGGGCCGCTGGGGCTGAGCAGACACAACCACTCACACTTCTTCCTGTCACATGGGTTGGCCACTATGATACAAAACAGCACATGATACATGAATGATCAAACTAACCTTACATATCATTAAAAGTTCATCAAAACCTTTGGTCTAAATTTCTCCCAATTTTTTTCTATTCTTCTATCAATCAAGGGTCAAAAACTACACTGATTATGTTTTGTGACTGAGTTCAAATACAGTTACATGTAAGAATCGGTTGGTTGACAGACTTACTCTCTGGCTGTTTGTAAGGGTGGAACAGGACCAAATCTGTGGCATGGTTCATTCCTGTGGTCAGATGCTCCACTGCACTCTTGCCAAACTTGTTGACACGGAAGACAAAGTTGTTGTGATAGGTCACACCGTATATGAAATCCTCAAAGATGTCGATACTGAAAGGATGGTGCAAATCTGAGAGAGAGAGAGAAAAACTTTGCCGTTATTTTATATCTCAAGCTTTACAAAAGCTCATTCAAACTTAAGTGATGCATTTACATTAAAAAATCTTATAAAAATATTATAGTTAACTAAAACTATACAAAGGTGTTTTCATTACCTGAAATACAATAAACAATAACTGAAATAAAATAAAATATAAAAATTTCAAAAAAGTCAAATGTCCTACATTTCATGTGTTGGTTGTTTGTTCATTAAGATGTTTAAAATTCTGCATTAAATTATGAAAAGTTTGTGCTCACATGTCTTGGCTCTAATGTTTTATTCTGTTTAGGCTTCTCAATACAAAATAAATAATAATTCATCTAAAATTGAATTCGTCTGGATCGATCCAGAGTTGTTTAAGGATGCACAAGTGAGTCGAATTTCCCCAGGCTTGTTGTCCTATTACAGTCAAACCAAAAATGATTCAGACACCAGATATAATTTTTGATATTTTTTTTTACTAGTGGGTGCAGGACATTATAGTTAATTTATGTAAGTGAGGATAGCAAAATAAAGTGAACTGTGACATATTATACCCAAAAATTCTTCATACAGTGGTCTACCAGTAAAACTGATAAAAATTTGGGACCAAAAATTCTTCAGACACTTTGACCGGACCATGGTTGCTTAAGTATTTTTTCTTTAATTGCTAATGCGACCTTTTTACACCACAGACTGAACAAAATTAAGCATTGCTTGGTAATTGGTTGACCTAAATTGGTATTATCTAATTGTGTACTTAAAGGAACACTGCACTATTTTTGAAGATAGGCTCATTTTCCAACTCCCCTAGAGTTAAACAGTTGAGTTTTACCATTTTCGAATCCATTCAGCCGATCTCCGGGTCTGCCGGTAGCACTTTTAGCTGTAGCTTAGCATAGATCATTCAATCTGATTAGACCGTTAGCATCTCGCTATGATGCTAACGGATGCTAAATGATATTACGCAGCGCCTGAAAATAATCCCCAGCATGCTCCCTGTGCAAGCAGGTGGTCACGTTGGTTATGCTGACAGAAGTTAGCCTATTTTCAGGTGCTGCGTAATATCATTGCGCCGACCCGGAGATCTGCTGAATGGATTTGAAAACGGTAAAACTCAACTGTTTAACTCTAGGGGAGTTGGAAAATGAGCCTATTTTCAAGAGTGTTCCTTTAAATTTAACAGCTGAATAATTTTTGGTTGATTGTAATTCATTACATACCTTGCATAGAGTTCTTGTCATATTGTATTACCATTTTCTAAACTATAGTGAATAAACTGTGATGATGTGAGAAATGTTGAATGTGTGAATACATTTTGTTTTGACCTAAATTGATCAAGCGAGTGACTCAACTGTTTTTAACACTGGAGACAGCTATGACCGGATCTGTTCCGTTCAGTCTGACGCTCCCGATAACAGAGAGTTTGGCATCAGCCCAGTACAGTCGCTCATTGAAGTAATCCACAGCTAGACCTGGCAAACAAACCCAACAGAAGTCATGTTACTGGTGTCACAGGTGCTTGAATCCGAGTGTGTGCTGTTTGATTCACATGATGGCTGACCTGTGGGCCACTGGATGTTTTCATGTACCAGCGTCTCTCTCATAGTGCCATCCATAGCAGCCGTCTCGATCTTAGGGTGGTTTCCCCAGTCAGCCCAGTACATGGTGCTTCAAGAATCAATGGTTAACATAGTTTTAATGCAAATCCAAATACTTATTTCAAGAGTGTTAACCCTGAGAATGAACTGTATAATTGACTTAGCAAGTACCACTAATAAATGTAATGTTGTGCAGCAAAAATATGCTGACACAAACAAAGCTAGTGCTGATGCTTTCTGCCACTTTCTGTTGATTTTCCGCTCACCCTCTCGGTGGGTCCACCACGATGGCGTAGGGCTCGTCAATCATGCCCGAGATGAGCGTCTTACGATTCCGTCCGTTCATCTGCGCCACCTCGACGACATCACGACCCGAGTCCGTCCAGTAGATGTTGTTGGCCACCCAGTCCACAGCAATCCCACGAGGCATCTTCAGGCCAGGGATCTATAACAAATCAAAGGTTACTTCATTTATTCCTTCTGTTAAATTCTGTTATGCACAGTGTTGGGGAAAGCTACTTTTAAAGGGGTCCTATTATGCTCTTTTACAAAGTCTTGGTTTTGTTTTGGGGGTGTACTAGAACAGGCTCTCATACTAGGTTGTTCGAAAAACACATTATTTTTCACATATTTTATATTATTACAACACCTCTCTCCCCAGTCTGGCATGAATGGCTCGAATAGTTCCTGTATCAAATGAAAGCCCGCCTTCTGAAATACGAAATGTGCTGTGATTGGTTAGCTGGGACAGTGTGCATTTGAAGTGGACTTTGAGCTTTGTAACTTTGCAGATCTTTTTTATGCTCAAACAGCAACATTACAGACTAACTAAAGTTGAAAAAGTGAAAAAGCATAATAGGACTCCTTTAAAAGTAATGCATTACAGTATTGTGTTACTTAGTTACTTTTTATGGAGAGTAATGTGTTACGTTACTTTTGCGTTATTTTTTAAATCTGGGCAGGGCTTTCTTGTTTGTTTTTAATATAAAAAGTTATATTTTTGGCAAAAATAAAAGCCCTTTTACACCAAAAGTGAAATTAAAGGAAAAGTAAATTTAAAAAAAGGTTAATAAAATGGGATTAAAATACCTGAACATACAGGAAATTTGTTTTATTTAACATATTTAATTATTGCAGGTGTGCGTCATATTCTGAGTTTGCATCTCATTGTTTTTATTCATTTCGAGGAATACTGAATCTGTTTTTTGTGCAGGTGAGATGAGTAAATGCATGTTGACATTTAGTCTATAACTACGGTAACATCTTGTTCACACAGCGCACACAACGCCTCTGCACTTACTCCTGATTCCTCTCAACCTGCGGTCATGTGAGCTGTAGTCAATTAATGGGAAAACAAAGTAACTGGCATTACTTATTTGAAAAAGTAACTCCGATATTTTCTTGTAAACTAAAAAGTAATACATTACTAGTTACTTGAAAAAAAAGCAATCTATTTACGTAACTCACGTTACTTGTAATGCGTTAACCCAACACATATATTTAGCATGTTTGTATTGTTAGGGTTTTTTAGGGAGACTTCTGATAACAAATACCGGTTGTAATATCAATCAGCTAACGGACTGTTTTTGGACAGGTAAAGTAACTGAAACCGTAAGTCTCTCACATTCAAGTCACAAATGTGCTGTAACGGCACGGCACTGAGAAGCACTGACCTCTAGATCAGTAACTCTGGAATCGGCTTGTCTTCGGTTGCGGTTTGAGTTCGGCGAGGCGGGTCCAGCAGAAGGCTGCTCGAAGGATGAGATTCTGCCCGTGTGCCAGTTGGTCCAGAAGATCCGTTTGGATTTGATGTGCAGGTCCATGGCGTCGATTCGTACATTGGCGTCTCCTTGGAAGGCCTGCTCATATATCCAGGTTTGCATTCCAGGATACAAACTGCGAATTTCATTATCATCTGCCACGTACAGAGCCTGTTTGTCACTGCCTACAATGACAGATAGCACAATGACAGAAAGGAAATGTAATACTGAAATCAAGATAACAGCAATACACCTCAATAAAATAAATTTAGAACTTAATCTGCATACATACAATATACTCTCATAAAGTGATATGAAAATATAGAACATCTCAACTGCTGGATTTTTTATTATCGCAAAACGTAAACTATATTATCCCACAACAATATATTTAATGTTGGATATATAGTACATCCAACGTTATCCGCATAGATACAGTATACTCACTTAATAAGAGATATACATATACTATAAACCTTATATAACTTTATGTTGTCGCAAATAATCTATATTATCGTTCATTTCAAATCTGCTAAATATGACTAGAAGGCAGATATTAAGAAGATATTATGATATTGATATTAAGATATTAAGATATTTTAATTATTAAAAATCAAGATTTTCTGAAAAACTACCTTGAAACAATGTGAATTGTGAAAAGCAATATACAAATAGACTTGACTTGACTGTAGTTTGAAACGTACTGTCAGCCTTGCAGGTGTCGTTCACTTTAATGAAGTTCTTGTAGCAGCTGCATTTGTGAGAGCCTTTAGTGTTGTTACAGATGTGAGAACAGATCCCGAACTGCTTGCACTCGTTCACATCTGTTGAGAGAGAAAAACGACAACGTGGACAGGCACAAAAACATTAGATGTATAAAGTGAATTTTACAATCATCTCTGCTGAGTGATGATATGATGGATTCATTCTTGTTTGACATTGCTGGTATGGTTTGTTATTAGCACAAGAAATATAGATTCTTTTTTAATTCTAATTTTATGTGGTTTTAGTTGATAAATTGAGCTGTGCTCCATTTTTCTTTTCACCAATACTACTTCCAACAATACTCACTAATATATATATATATATATATATATATACACAGGTGCATCTCAATATTAGAGCTTACAGCTCATGAAAGTCAAAAATCCAGTATCTCAAAATATTAGAATATTTCTTAAGATCAATCAAAAAAAGGATTTGCAAAACAGAAAAGTTCAGTGTTCTTTAAAGTATGTTGATTTATGCATTAGCACAAACTCCAGCATCAGTGAGGTGTGGCATGGAAGCGATCAGCCTGTGGCAAAGTGCTCCAAAATCTCCAGGTAGATGGCTGCATTTAATTTGGACTTGATAAAACACAATGGAGCAACACCAGCAGACATCACAACACCCCAAAGCATCACTGACTTCAGAAACTTCACACTGAACTTCAAGCAGCTTGGATTCTGTGCCTCTCCAGTCTTCCTGCAGACTCCAGACCTCGATTTCCAAATGAAATACAAACACTGACTCCAGCTTCAGTCCACTCCTTGTGAAGCTCTACCAAGAGTTTGAATCGGCTTTGCTTTACAGTATTCTCAAGCTTGCGGTCATCCCTGTTACTTGTGCACCTTTTCCTACCCAATTTCTTTCTTCCAGTCAACTTTGCATTTAATATGCTTTGATACAGCACTCTGTGAACAGCCACCCCTTTCAGTAATGACCTTCTGTGACTTACTCTCTTTGTGGAGGGTGTCAATGCTCGTCTTCTGGACTATTGCCAAGTCAGCAGTCTTGCCCATTATTGTGGTTTCAAAGAACAAGAGATACCATATAAAAGTTTCACTTTTTGAAATAAGTTCCAAAAAAATGAACTGATTGTTTGAGATGCACCTGAATAAATATATATATATATATATATATTAACTTAGATTTAACCATGAGTAAAAACATGCTCTTCTGTAGCTGATAAAGCTTCAAAAAAATGTTTTTGGAGTTTTGTTAGCAGTTTAGTCTCCTTTGGTTCTCAGCATGTGTGTGCTGTACCGGTACCTGTGCAGGTTTGCGGGTGTGTTTTCTGGAAGCCGGGTTTGCAGGAGCAGAACCAGTCGGTTCCATTCACCACACAGTGACCTTCATCTTCACAAATACTGTGGTTGTTACGGCATTCATTTAGACCTGAATCTGTTCAGAGACACAGAACATCACAAATAGACACTCAGTGAACCTCGATCTTTTATGTTTGACAAAGAAAGCTGTCAAATAAACAAATAGGCTCACTTTTCTTGTTGCAGTTGATCTCATCAGAGCCGTAGTCCTCACAGTCGTTGAAGAAATTGCAGCGTAGGTTAATGCTTATACACTTTCCAGTGCTGCAGGTAAACTCACCCTTTCCACAGACCACAGGCGCAGGAGTTTCTGACAGGGAACAGGGACAAATTCACTTCAATAGACATTTACTAGCATAATCAATGACTCATTCTCATTGGTGTCCTCATGACTGCTTATGATTAAAATAAATTAATTAATACATATATGAATGAATTCCTCACTTTCTCTTCAACACTGTTATGCTGTGTCATTTCCACCTGTAGTAATAATACTTTCTGCATCATATCTAAAGGACGTCATCATTAGGTAGGTTTCTTTGGCAGTCTTTTTAATTTCACCGTTTGCACTTATCTTGTCATTCTAGTCCATCTCAATATTTCACCTCAGATTTTTCTTGGTATAAATTTACAGAAAAATATTCACTGTGAATCATGTGGTTGGGTGCAGGACAAATTTTACACAACATTCAACCCCAAAAACATGTGATGTAATGGTTTAAATACACAAAACATGTTTTGAAAGAGAAGCTCCATGGGTTATTGATATATCTTCAAAATCCAATGTGTAAAGGACCAGGACCAATGTGTTACTACCAGATAACTGCGTTATTATTCAAATAATATGCACAGTCTATTAATTCCATACTGAACATATTGTGATTGAGTTGAAAACACATTAGGGTTAGTGTTAGTAATGATAAATAACTATTAGCAAGGCTGTAACCACATATATTTAGGGGATTGCATCCCCCATTTTCTATGGTGGTAAAAAAAAGAAATTCTTAAAAGTTCAGCAAATAAAAAATAAAAAATGCACACACGTCCATACTAATATTTTCAGTAAGAAATCGTACATGAAAATGATGTTAAATGTTTAGTGTAATGGCACAGGCAAAAATGACATGCAAAAAAAAAACAATGACATTTTAAATAAATCAGCCAAGAAAAGTAGCAATTACTCACGGCAGTTGAGTTCATCACTGTTGTCTCCACAGTTGTCAACACCGTCACATTGTTTAGACACTGGCAGACACACTCGGTCATTATGGCAGCGGAACTGTCTGGTGGGAGGACACTGGAATCTCTCTGAAACACACACAGAATAAAAACACAGCAGTCTTGATGTGAAAATTCAGATGATTTCACCAGCAGAGTCAGACTGAACCCCAAACATTCAAACGCTCAATTTGACAGAGTTTGTGCAACAGCTAATGTAAATGAAGCTACACTGCTAATGCAAATGAAGAATCCTAAGGCCTGTTTCACACTTTTTTTTTTCACACCCATATTAACAGGTTGCAATATTCACACTGTATCCAAAAGATAAAGTCTCTGACATATACACGTACAGGTTAAAGGGCGCAGTGCAGTAATATGCTGAACAGGTGTTTTGTGTCATAGCTGTTACTATATTGTGTATTTAATTACACTTGCAATGCAACATTGACCAGCATCCAGGAAAGAATATGTGGCTTATAAGGCTTATATGTGACCCTGGAGCACAAAAGCAGTCTTAAGTCGCTGGGGTATATTTGTAGCAATAGCCAAAAAAACATTGTATGGGTCGAAATGATCTATTTTTCTTTTATGCCAAAAATCATTAGGATATTAAGTAAAGATCAAGTTCCATGAAGATATTTTGTACATTTCCTACTGTAAATATATCAAAACTTAATTTTTGATTAGTAATATGCATTGCTAAGAACTTCATTTGGACAACTTTAAAGGAGATTTTCTCAATATTTTGATTTTGTTTTTGCACCCTCAGATTCCAGATTTTCAAATAGTTGTATCTCGGCCAAATATTGTCCTATCCTTACCATACATCAATGGAAAGCTTATTTATTCAGCTTTCAGTCAATTTGAGCAATCAATTGAGCTGAAAAAAAAAATGCACTACTCACTGCACACGTCTGGGTTCTCGTCTGAATTGTCTCCACAATCGTCCTCGCCGTCACACATCCAGCCCAGCGGCTTACACAGAGTGTTATTACACTGAAACTCATCCAGAGGGCAGAATCGACCCACTGCACACACACACACACACACACACACACACACACAGGGTAACTCATCTGTATTCATTCCAGCACAACCACACAGCAATTACCGTGCGTGTGTGTGTGCGTGTGTGTGTGTGTGTGTGTGTGTAAAACACTTGGCAACGCATCTTCAGAAAGGCCTCCTTGAATACTAAAACCCTCTCCAGAGTCTGATCACTCTAATTAATACTGCAGGCATTGGTTTATGGGTAACGCTGTTGTTTAAAGGAACAGCTCAACCATAAATAAAAATTATATCATTATTTACTTATTCTCATACCTTTTTAAATCTGTACAGTGTTGAAAGGTTTATTTTTCTCCTGCTCTTTCCAAAAACACAATAAAAGCAGTCCATACAACTTGTGCACTACATTTCACGTTGAAATGTAACCTCTTCACCTTGTGTTAGCTACACATACATACATACATAGAATCTAGACAAGAACACAGGCTAAGATTAGTGAATAATGACGTTTTGCTCTGTTTCTCACACAAAGCTCTTTTGTATGACTTTAGAAGATATGTAATATAGTGCAAAAATCATATGGATTTTTTTTTTAATGGAGCTTGACAGATGTGGTCACTATAAATTATCACTGCAGAGAAAAGAGCTATAAGAAGATTCTTCAAAAATTTTCGATAGCAGCATACAGTTCAGGTTAGAAACAAAGTTTAAGGAATAGTTCACCCAAAAATGGAAATTTGGAATGGGTGCCGTCAGAATGAGACTCCAAACACAATAACCCACAAGTAATCCACACGAATCCAGTCTATCCATTAACATCTTGTGAAGCCAAAAGCTGCATGCTTGTAAGAAACAAATCCATCATTAAGACATTTTTAACTTCAAAACCACTGTGTCTGGCTAAAATACGAGTCTTCTATCCACAATATTGCTTTCTCCAGTGAAATATCATCTCATATACATCAGGAGAGAAATATGCACAGATCAAGCACTGTTTACAAATGAAAACAGCTCGAAACAAATATGTTAGTGAATTTAAAGGGTGATGGACTTTTTCACTGGAGAAAGTGTTATTATGAATTAAGGTCTCGTGTTTCAGCCAAAATTTGGGCCTAAATTTCTTAATGATGGATTTGTTTCTTACAAGCTTTTCACTTTCTGACGGCACCCATTCACTGCAGAAGATCCACTGGTGAGCAAGTGATGTAATGTTTTTCTCAAATAAGATGAAGAAACAAACACAACTACATTTTGTGTGGCTTGAGGCTAAAAAAATTTCTAGCAAATTGTAATTTTTGGGTGAAATATTCCTGTAATAAATGACAGTTTCGGTTTGAGCTGATTCTGTATTTAGCATGTTTTTGTGCGATTTTAACCTCCAGTGTCGCAGTTCTCCTCGTCGCTGCCATCCATGCAGTCGGCATCGGCGTCACACCTCCAGCGGAATGGGATGCAGTGACCGTTCTTACACTGAAACTGGTCATTATCACACTTCACATCACAGCCGTGCTGCAAAATACACACACACACACATTACATACTGCAGTGAGTATTTGCTATTCAGGAGGATCATCACTGATCAGTTCTGCTGAAGTGTGTGTTTTCCTGAAGCAGGTGTGAATGAGTGGTTTTGTGACTTGCCTCATCAGACCCGTCAGCACAGTCATGATCTCCATCACACTTCCATCTGCCAGCAATACAGCGGCCGCTGGTGCAGGCAAACTCGCTCTCAGAGCACTGCCTGGGCACTGACACAGACACAAGACACACTTCTGTGATATTTCAACAATATCTTGTCAAGACAAATCCAGGTCACATTTCACTACATGGTCAAAAGAAAGAAATTATATTTATATTTAGCATGAAACAAAAACTGTTGTTAGGCTAAAGATTTTTTGACAAGCATGTTTTCATCCCAATTCTCATTCGTAGTACAAAAACAATGCTTATTCTCATTACAGTAATTAAAATTTTTTTTTTTATTGAATTGCTGGGTATTTATAGTACACAACTGTTCAACAGTTATGGGTCAACAAAGTTTTAAAAGAAGTCTTTTTATGCTCACCAAAGCTGCATTCATTACGGTAATTAAAAATACAGCGAGAAGCTCAACAGTAATATTGTAAAAATTATTACAACTTCAAATAACTTTTCTACTGTAATATATTTTAAAATGTGTGAATTTTCAGCATCATTACTCCAGTCTTCAGTGTCACATGATCCTTCAGAAATCATTCTAATAACAATTTGCTGCATGGTCTATAATTTATGCTCATTAAGTTCAAATGTATCACAGTAATAAGAGCTGAATAAGAATCGCTACGGATAATGGTAAGAACTACAAACAAACTCAAAAGTTAAAAGTCTGGAAAAATTACAATGAGACGTTTAGGAGAAAAACATGCTTTGTTGTCATTAAAAATAATGACATTGTGCAAAAAATCCTAATGGTCCTAAAAACAAGCTGAATTTTCAAAGACAAAAGGTGTGAAATGTGGCATGGATTTTTTTTTCTTTCATGACATTCACTCCGAAGGGTCTCATTAGATCACTTTATATGTAGAAGCAGGGGTTTTTAGGTAATATGTTTGTTAAGGGCATACATCTTAAACCAGAGGCACAAGGACAGATGGAGCTTTGGGTGTTTGGGAGCAGCAGGCAAAAAAAAAAAATCAAATCCAAACCATAACTGCTCAAAAACTGCAGGAAAGGGCTTCACAGTGGCTAGCTGCTGAGTACTGGAAAAGGCTCGTTATTAATCATTGATTATCATGATTATATCTTCTTTAACCATTTAACCGGTTACATGTACTGTAAATTGCTGTCTTCAGTTTTTCATGCATAGTGAAACAGAAAAGAACATTCAAGCCTCCCAGTGTCACCAGCGAGCAGCCACTGACGGAGATGTTCAGGACTGAAGTGGACATTTGAAAATGGAAACCTACCTCTAACCCACATCAATGTGGCAGTGTGAAATGAAGAATAAACAAGATGTAGACACGTAAATGACTGGACGAAACAAAAACATGCACAAAGGGAAAAAAAAGTCCTCTCGTTAATTAAAATGTGCTCATGAACAAATAAATGAGAATGACAACGATCAGGTTTTTCGGTTCATTTCGTATCGCTGACTGCCACTTGTCTGAGAGCCTAACAGAACGTTCTGTTCCTGCTGCCATTGCTGTGATGTAAGGTGAAGCATGTCTCTGGATGTGTGTGTGCCTGATGTTCATCTGGACCCGTGGAGTCTCAGCGCTCAGATGCAGCAGCGGGCGGTGGAAACCTACCACACTTATCCTCGTCCGAGTTGTCCCCGCAGTCGTTGTCATAGTCACACTGCCAGCGGCCGGGAACACAGCGATTGTTTTTACAGCGGAACTGATATGGCTCACACGTTCTCTCATCTGCATATATAGCCACAACATTAGTGCTGTGTAATTCTTCAGTGGCAGCATATAAATAACTAAATTATAGAAACTTTAACATATAAGTTAAGGGATAGTTAACCCAAAAATCACAAATCTTTCATAATTTTATGAAAATTGTCGTCATGTCGTTCCAGACCTAAAACAATTTGGTTAATCTTCAATAATCGAAATATTGAAAACATATATTTTAATGAAACCTAAGAGGTTTCTGTCCCCCCATTGAGGTCCAGCTAACCAAATCTTAGAAGATCTAAAAAGGTAATAAAAGCGTCGCAAAACAGAAACATATTCAAATCTTGTGAAGAGATATGATTGCTGTATATGATGCACAGATTTAATTTAGGCTTGTCTGTATTAATTTAATGTCCGTATTAAAATAAACACACATACTACTGTCATGCGAGCCTACTGTGCTGGAGCGAGGAGACGCGGAGACATAGGAGATTCCAATAAACAGAACTTTAATGAACAGAACACCAGGAACGCACACGTAGCACTGGGGTAAGACTCCTCGCTCCAGCACAGTAGGCTCGCATGACAGTAGTATGTGTGTTTATTTTAATACGGACATTAAATTAATACAGACAAGCCTAAATTAAATCTGTGCATCATATACAGCAATCATATCTCTTCACAAGATTTGAATATGTTTCTGTTTTGCGACGCTTTTATTACCTTTTTAGATCTTCTAAGATTTGGTTAGCTGGACCTCAATGGGGGGACAGAAACCTCTTAGGTTTCATTAAAATATATGTTTTCAATATTTCGATTATTGAAGATTAACCAAATTGTTTTAGGTCTGGAACCACATGACGACAATTTTCATAAAATTATGAAAGATTTGTGATTTTTGGGTTACAGGGAGAAACTAATGAACTATGAGGACAGGAACATGAAGATAACCAAATAAGGGCATAATGTCACGTGGGGGAAGAAAACACACAAGACATGGAACAGAGTCTGACATTACTCCCCCCTCCCGGAAGGCGCGTCCTCGCGCTACACAACATCCAACGAGGAGGGGGTGGGGGTGGCACGAGCGGTACCCATTCGGGGCGCCATGGCGGAGCTGGCAGCTCGGGGAGCCATGGCGGAGCAGGGAACTCAGGGGGCCACGGCGAATCAGACAGTTCGGGGCGCCGTGGCGGATCAGGCAGACTAGGAGGCCATGGCGGAGCAGACAGTTCAGGAGGCCATGGCGGAGCAGACAGTTCAGGAGGCCATGGCGGATCAGGAGACTCAGAAAGCCATGGCGGAGCAGGGAACTCAGGAGGCCATGGCTGACAGCCTCCGTGGCCTTGGCCTCGCCACTACAGCTGGGAACTCAGGACGCCATGGCTGGACGGCCTCCGTGGCCTTGGCCTCACCACTCGGCCCGGCCACTACGGACGGACCCATACTACACCCCCAAAAAAACTTGGGGACTGGAGCCCTCACTGGGCTAGACGAGGGGACAGGAGCCCTCACTGGGCTAGACTCGGGGACTGAAACCCGCTCTGGGCTAAACTCGGGGACTGGAACCCTCCGTGGACTAAACTCGGGAACAGGAGCCCTCCGTGGGCTAAACTCAGGAACAGGAGCCCTCTTTGGGCTGGATTCGGGCCTGGAGCCCACACTGGAGCGAGCTCTGGGGCTGGAGCCGACAAAGGTGCGAGCTCCGTGGCTGGAGCCAACCGCCTTCTCCTCCTTAGATTCCCCTTTAGTTTCGGGGTGAAAGGCGTGGTCGGCGGGCTTGAGTGACCGCGGCCGGCGGGCTTGACTGAGGAACCACCGGTGGGCTTGAGAATGCCACGGCCGGCGGGCTTGACTGAGGAGCGGCCGGCAGGCTTAAGAATGCCGCAGCAGGCCGGCTTGACTTTGGAGCGGCCGGCGGGCTTGACTGTGGAACGGCCGGCGGAGGGGTTCCGGATCGGGATCGGAGACTCTCCAGACACCGGATGACCGCCTCCTTCCAGTCGAGGTTGGTGGTGTCTGGGAGTTCCGTGGGCTGATGGTAAGTGATCCCGAGCCGGAACAGCGTGAAGAGGGTCTCCCCATCGAGGGAACTGGCAAGGGCGAGCGGCATGAATGCCCTCGCGTAGGTGAGCGCGTCGTGGCTCGCCTGAGCCACGGCGATGAACATCGCTCATTCCTCCGTGTTGGCGGGGAGAAATGAAAACAAAAGACTTTCAAACGAAAAACAAACAAAGGGAGAATTCTGTCATGCGAGCCTACTGTGCTGAAGCGAGGAGACGCGGAGATGTAGGAGATTCCAATAAAGAGAACTTTAATGAACAGAACACCAGGAAAGCACACGTAGCACTGGGGTAAGATGAACAATTCCGGATAAGGAAGAACAGAACGGGCTAGAACTCAAATAGGGCAGATAACGAGGGGCAGACAGGTGAGGAGGGTAACTAATAATGAGACACAGGGAGAAACAAATGAACTATGAGGACAGGAACAGGAACTTAATCAAATAGCCAAATAGGGGCATAATGTCACATAGGGAGCACGTGGGGGAAGAAAACACACAAGACATGGAACAGAGTCTGACAACTACAGAGCAAATCACATATAGTAAACGCAGAAGCTTTTGTGTGCATCATACACTAGAACAAACCTCACTGGCTCTTGTGCATCACACTTGCATGTCTGAGCTCTCTGTATGTGTGTAAATATATAGTGAACAGATTTAATTTACACTTTAAAGCAATTGTATCTCTTCACAAGAATTAATCCACTCGATTGATATGTATTTGTTTGTTTTACAAACCCTTTATAATCTTTAAATTCTCTAAGTTCTAACCCATCAAAGTTAAAAATGTCTTAATTTGTGTTTCAAAGATGAACCAAAGTCTTATGGGTTTGGAACGATATGAGGGTGAGTAAATGATGACAATTTTCATTTGCTTTTCAAAGGAACTTGTGCTGCATCAAAACACTGTGGGAGCGCCTCTGGCTCTTGAAGCATGTGTGAAATCAGTCTAATGGAGTGGCGAGACTTCACGGGCAGAGTGATGTAGAAACCAGGACGCTTAAAAGCGGAACAAGCAGCGTTAGCTTCTGTGTCTTGTCTATCAGAGTTTATGTTTGTTTGTCTGTGCCAGTGCACAATCAATGTCAAAATAAGTAAAATATGGTGAGCAAAGAGTCTAAATAAGGCCTAAATCAAAATGATTGTGTATTCCTCCCTGCCCGCGCTATATTACGGGTGGGAACACACACGGTTCCGGTCCCGCTGCAGTTGAGGCAGAGCGGCGATTGAGATTGTGGGACTCGCAAACTGATCTAGTTAGAGATGGGCTCTGCCTTTTATAAAATAAACCATATTCAGCCCAGCTCTTCAGCCCTAATGTATCAGACTATGCAAACATCAAGGGGTTGAATGAGCAGGGCTATGGGGCGATACCTAAGGTGGAGCAGACGCTTACGAGCGATCTGTCCCTTGATACAGCATTATCTCTTAAGTCTCCAACATTACCCACCAAGCCATGTAGAACAACTTCAGCTCTGGTGGGTAAGGTGGCAGGTCAAGCCAAGGGATGTCTGCAGGCATACCAGGCTGACCTGTTAAAATACCTTGATGAGAGCAAGGGGGTAGGTACGGACACAATCCAAGAACTGGACCAGGCCACCGATTTGTCTCTTCAGTCCAATAAGGAGACGGCTAGAGCCATCAGCCATTCTATGGAAGCCCTGGTGGCCATGGATTGGAAACTGTGAACTTGTCTGACATCAGAGAGAAGGACAAGTTTTTCCTCCTGGATGCTCCACTTGCACCTTCTGGCCTAGTCGTCGACAGGTTGTAGGAGGTTAAATAGCAGGCAGCAGCATTCCAGCGCTACCTCCCTCGCCGACCTCAGGTCTTGGGGGCTGCTGGGAGGGAACAGCTCCTGGTATTGCACTACTCAGAAGCAGAGTGTTGCTTTCTGTGATGCCTCACCCACATGAAAGAGCTGGGGTTAAGCCTGCAGGCCAAGAAGAGTGTGCTTTCTCCAGTACAGAGGACCACTTATCTTGGCGTGATATGGGATTTGACGATGATGTAGGCACGTCTGTCTCCTTCTCATATCGATTCGATTCTTGTAGCCGTAAACAGAGTGAGGCTAGGCCAGTCACTCACTGTAAAACAGTTTTAGAGTTTGTTGGGTCAGATGGCAGCAGCATCCAATGTGATACCTTTTGGCCTGCTGCCCATGAGACCTTTGCAGTGGTGGCTCAGAACCAAGGGGTTTTCCCTGAGGGGCAACCCACTTTGCATGATCAAGGTCACACACCCCTGTTAAAAAAACCAGCATATGCTGGTATGTATGTTTGTTTTGAAGCATGGCTGCTGGTTTGAGCTGGTTTAAACTGGTCATGAGCTGGTTGTTAGGTATTTTTTGAAGCATGGCTGCTGGTATGAGCTGGTTTAAGCTGGTCGTGTGCTGGTCGTGAGCAGGAGCTAGTTGCTTAGGACCAGCTTAGGACCAGCACATGACCAGCTAAGGACCAGCTTAAACCAGCTCATGACCAGCTAAGGACCAGCTTGAACCAGCTCAAACCAGCAGCCATGCTTCAAAACATACCTAACCAGCATATGCTGTTTTTTCAACAGGGATAATGCCATACATTCATGTGGAAGAAGCCTTGGTTCTTGTCCCAGGGTCTTTGTGTTGGGAGCTCCTTGTCATCGCGTAACGCTTACAACATATGCATCCCTCACTGGCTGAGGAGCGATCATGAATTGTTCGCTCAGCTCAGAGTCTGTGGGGAGACATCATCTCTCGTGGCACATCAATTGCCTGAAGATGCTGGCTGTGTTCTGAGCATTGAAATACTTTCTCACAGACCCAAGAGGCCATCATGTGCTTGTTTGTACAGACAACACATCTGTGGTCTCTTACAGTGTCCACTTTGCAAGTTGCACACCAGATCCTCCTGTGGGCTCAGGAAAAACTGGTCTCCCAAGGTGGTAGAGCAGATTTGGAGGGAGTTCGGCCAGGCAGAAGTGGACTTGTTTGCGTCTCAAGAAACGACACACTGGCTATGTTTACATGCAACCAAATAATCCGTCAGTAATCGGATTGATGGCTCAATCGGACTGAAAACCTTCATGTAAACACCTTAATCGATCCAATTAAGCACAATCTGAATGAGATTTTGATCGGATTGAAAGGGGTGGTTTATTCCTTTTCTAAAACACTTGATCGGATTGAAAACCGAAACCGAAAGGACTGCGCATGTGCAATGACACAGAAATAGCATAATGACACATGACACGCCGAACAAGCTGTACTTTCTGTTGATAAAGAGTTGTATAAATTAATGTCCTGTCATTATAAAACTCTCCTTTCACTCAGCGTCTGTGAAGTGGAGCAGGACAACATCCCACCAGTCCTTGTTTCGGATTCTCATCCACGGACGACTGGTTTTGGGCACGGGGTCGCACATTTTTACTGCGTGATAAATATAAGCAGCACGGCACCATGGTTGATATGTAATATTTATCCAGAAATGGATACCTATTAATTCCGCTGTTTAAAACAAATAAAGAAACCGTGTAGGAGAGTGGTTATTATGTGCAAACAGGGGGAAACTCTATATTTGTTCAGTGTGCGCATGTCCAAAACAATAAATTCCAATTTGAAGCTTGTGACATATAAACACGCACATCAACCCGATCACTTTATTTAGCCTTCATGTAAACACTACATTCAGATTCATAAATTTAATTGAATTCAGTCTGATTGAAACAAAAATTGTGCATGTAAACAGCCAATGTCTGCTCTGGTTTTCCCTCATGTGAGCTTCTCTCGGACTGGATGCCATGGTACAGGCATTGCTGTATGCATTTCCTTCAATTGCTCTGCTGCCAGGTGTTCTGGAGAGAGCTCACCGGAACAGGGTCCATCTGTTACTAGTAGCCTTGTTCTGGCTGGCTCGAGTATGGTTCTCAGACCAAGTGGCACTCCTCAACGGCTCTCCTTGGGAGGTTCCGGTCAGGCCAGGGCGATCAGGAGGTTCTCGCCCTGCAGCCCAAGACTGGTTGCCCACTGAAGCTAAGCACGGTTGCCCCTGGTCAGTACATGGATGGGAGATCTCCTGGGAAAACTAGGTTGCTGCTGGAAGAGGTGTTAGTAAGGCCAGCAGGGGGTGCTCACCCTGTAGTCTGTGTGGGTCCTAACTCCCCAGTATAGTGACGGGGACACTATACTGTCAAAAAAGCACCGTCCTTCAGATGAGACGTTAAACCAAGGTCCAGACTCTCTGTGGTCATTAAAAATCCCAGGATGTCTTTCGAAAAGTGCATCCTGGCCAAATTCGCCCATTGGCCTCTAACCATCATGGACTCCTAACAATCCCCATATCTACTGATTGGCTTCATCACTCTGTCTCCTCTCCACCAATAAGCTGGTGTGTGGTGGGCATTCTGGCGCACTATGGCTGCCGTCGCATCATCCAGGTGGATGCTGCACACTGGTGGTGGGCGAGGAGATACCCCCCTCACAATGTAGAGCGCTTTGAGTGCTTAGAAAAGCAGAAAAGCACTATATAAATGTAACGAATTATTATTATTATTATTATTATTAGGTGGGACCTTTTGTCTTAGGCAGGGGGCTCAATCCTTCACCTTCGCCTGGAGTTATGGACGCTATGGGTGTGGCCTCTGAGAGGGCACAACTTACAAATTCTAGTCTCTCAGCTGAGGTTGCTGAGAACATACTCCACTCCAGAGCTTCCTCCATGAGGAAACAGAACGCCTTGAAGTGGGCACTGTTTGTTTGGTGTGGAAATCGACAGCAGGACCCAGTTTACTGTCTGGTTGGTTCAGTGCTGGAGTGATTCTCCACAAGGTTATCTCCCTCCACCTTAAAGGTGTACGAGACACTTCATCTCCCTGCTATACTCCCTGCATCCCTGTGAGCAACCTGCTTCGACCTATCAGAAGCTAATGCTATTTGTTCCAGATGTGCTTTTGAGCTTCCTGGTTTCTACATCACCCCGCCCGTGATGTCTCGCCACTCCATTGGACTGATTTCACACGTGCTTCAAGACGCTATCACTTCCCCACAGCGTTTTGACGCGGCGTCTCGTTTCCTCTCAGGGAATCATGGTTACAGACGTAAACTGAGACATTCTTGATGAACTATCCCGTTAAATTTGAATTCAAATTTTAATTTTTAATTAATGATACTACTCTAAAATATTTCATTTGCTAGTCTTGTATATAAAGCATATGAACGCACCACACTCCTCTTTGGGTTCATCTGAAGAATCACCACAGTCATCCTCTCCGTCGCATTTCCAGCGAGCTGGGATACAGCGACCGGAGTCTTTACAGCGGAACTCATCCACACCACATGTCATCTGAGCTACAGAAAGAGATATAAGAAAGAACTGAATGAATTATATCAATATGTGCTAATTGGTAGAAGTAATAATAATAATAATAATAAGTTTATTTTATATAGCGTTATTCTGCAACCTCAAGGTCGCTTTACAATATCAAAACAGATGAGCATGACAGCAGACAGAAAAACAAAATACAAATAAACATGAAATCCATGGCATGAATCTGGAGATCCACAGTGTTCAAACAATAGTATCAGCAGATATTAAGCTATTTTGAAAACATAACCATGCCTGTTTCTATCTATTAATAGCCATGGCAATGGATAATGTACAGTGAGTTTTGATTTAAAAATTTTATATAATGAGTTTTTAATTAAAAAAATTTCCACTTACTGCAGTTGGCGGGTTCGTCAGATCCATCAACGCAGTCATTATCACGGTCACACACCCACACACGTGGGATACAGCGCTTGGTTATGGCACACTGGAACTGGTTGGGTGCACACGTTACTTCCGCTACATACAAATAAACAAGTTATACTTTAATCATATTTTCAAAAGAAAAAAATATGTAATGTAAAGCCTAAACCAAACACACTAAACTAAAAAAACTGTCATGATATGTATTTTAGTGTTATACTTGTGTAAATACATTACATAAATTCAAAAGATTTGGGTCTGTAAGATTTTTTTATGTTTTTGAAAGAAGTCTCTTCTGCTCACAAAGGCTGCATTTATTTGATCAAAATACAATAAAATATAACTTTATAATTTGAAATAACTGTTTTATATTTTAATACATTTTAAACTGCAATTTATTCCTGTGATGGCAAAGATCCCTGTGTTTTTCAGCATCATTACTCCAGTCTTCGGTGTCACATGATCATTCAGAAATCATTCAAATATGCTGCGTTGGTAATAGAGATGTCATGTTCCATCTGCATTCTGTTTCTAAAGACTTTTACTATGGACTGAAGTATGTTTTCTTCCTTTTGGTATTTGTGTTCAAGTTTTCCCATGTTTAGTTTCTGTTCCTCTTAGTTTCCAGAGCTGTTGATTACGTTTCCATGGTTTCTGATTGTATGCATTTGTTTTCTTGTTTAGCCCCTTGTTATTTCCTATATAGACTGTTGCAAATTCACACCTGTATCATCTTCACATGTTTACATTAAAACTGCACTTAGATCCAAACCATGTCTGCTTGGAAACCATGATAGAAATTTGGACCAAATATTATGGATCTAGCAGTGGAACAACTCCTCCTCCTCACCTAGGATGCTCAATACCCTGAAAACCACACCTGTGAGTTCTTCCATCTGGCAAACTCTGTGCACTTACTGGACAGGTCCCTAAGTTCCTTTTTCTATGTCTTTGAGAGATATTTTGTGACTTTGTAGAGCTGGGTGAGGTGGAGGAGAATTCCAATCTCCTAATATCCACTCCAGCCCCAGAGCTCATGTCAGAGTCTGCTTCAGCACCAGAGCTCATACAAGGGTCTGCTCCAGTCTTTGAATTGATCTATTTATTTGTTTATTTTTGCACAGACTTGCACAGACAGAACACAAGGATGGTTTGTCCCAGAGCCATCTCCCACCACCCTGTCCATCCTGGAGTCAGCGCCGACCTCCCTGTCCATCCCAGAACCAACACCTGCAGTCAGGTCAAAACTGCAGACTCTTCCCATAATTATTTTCACCCCAAGAGTCCTATCTGAGCAGTTAATTACTCTCTTTGTCCCAGCCACTGAGGCTGCCTCCCCACATTTTTTTGCCAGTCACGTCCAGCTTGGTTGACTTCAGTTCAACTTGGTTCTAGCCATTTCCTTGGCTTCCCTCCACTGGTTCCATCCAGCACAAATGACTCACCAGTCTCATCCATCTCCCTAGCCCTTCCTCCTCAATCAGGATCTTCTACATCAGCTACCCTGACTCCCCCGATTGCTGCTGCTCTGCCGGTTCTCCCCAGTCCTCCAGCTTCACCGCTGTGACCCCCGTCTTCTGGCTCCACCACTGTCCTCAGTCACACCGGCTCTACCTTGCCATGCTCCTCTAAATCCCCCGGCTCTGCCTCAGACCTCTCCCGTTCAGTGGTCCTGGCTTTTCTCACCTGGGAACCACCATTACCTTCCTGTGACCTGGACATTCCTTTCTTTTTTATTGTGCTAGCTGTGTTCTATGTTTCTAAGGACTTTTACTTTGAAGTATATTTTGATTCGTTTTGGTGTTTGTGTTCAAGTTTTTCAGTGTTTAATTCCTGTTCCTTTTCGTTTCCAGAGTGACTGATTATATTTCCATAGTTTCTGATTGTTCACACCTGTTTTTTGTGTAGCTCCTCGTTATTCCCTTCGTATATATAGCCCTTTGTTTCCTTAGTCATTTGTCTGATATTGTCTTGATGTTTTGCATTTGCTGTTGGCTTCCTTGTTTTTTTTCTTCAAGTTATTAACTAGCCTCACTCCTGTATCATCTTCATGTGCTTATATTAAAGCTGCTCTTAGATTCTAATCACATTTCCTTGCGATCCGTAGTTCAAATAAACATTTTTTAATCAATCCTAGTCCTGGAGCCCCTTTGGATATCTCCCTAATCAAACATACCTGATTCAGCTCATTACAGAAAATAAATATTTTGTAATATTATGAATGCATTTGTTGTCACTTTTGACCCATTTAATGCATCCTTGCTGGATAAAAGTATTAATTTCTTAAAAAAGTAATAAAAAATAATTAAATATCTCACTGACCCCAATGATCTTTCAGATGAGCAAACACTCTACACGTTCTTCTATCTTCCAGAGGACAATAATAGAAGGTCTGTGATGTATGTATGTGTGAGTGGCGATACAACTGATCACATCTAATTTTCAAAGTCACAGCATGGCTTTGTGAGATTATTAAAACATAAAAGGCTTTTTTTTTGTCTTCTCATTTTTATGTCTTATTGTCTTATAATGAAACTCACGGCAGTCTTTCTCATCCTCTCCTTCCCCGCAGTTGTCTTGGCCGTTACAGCGGAATATTCCAGGAATACAGCGACTGGGATTGGTGCATTTAAACTGACTGGGCAAACACACGTGAATATCTGCAAATCACACATACAAACACATTAGTGGAGTAACAAAGCTGATATGCTTATTGCCCTATTGGAGGCAGCTGAGGGAAAGTCATATTTTCAGTCAAAAGATGGGAAAATGTAACTTATTACTTATTAAAGCAATTATTCTCAAGTGGTAATGTGTTACCGCAATCTTACCACATATAATACAGTGTACTTATAGGCACAAAGTCAAGCTCTTTAAAAACAGCAGCAATAGCAATATTCTAAAAAACACTATAGTGTTCAATAAATACACTGCTTGTACTTACTATTAACAATATTCTGAATAATCCTATGGTTCACTAGTACAGTATTAATACTGTTTGTGCATATTCTGTAAATACTGTTCTGGATATCTGAAGTCTGGTAGACAAAGTATACATATCAAGTACTTTAGTTTAAGTGCAGGTACCCTCATAAAATATTACTCCAATAAGTACTCATTTTAAATTTTACGTGAGTAAGTACTTGATTTTTAAAGTAAGGTAAAGTTTAGAAAGTAAAATGTACTGTTGTTAATGTTTATTTATTTTGCAGTTTTACTTATCTAAGATTAGTGGATGAAGAGATTAAATTTGTATTGATCTGCAAATAAGTTTTATTTTATTACCAAAACATACGCTATTATAACATTAAATTTCAATATGCATAAGCAACTGTGCAAAAAACTTCACATAGGGCAAAATTTGTTAATATTTTAGGAAGAATGATTTGCAAATATACTAGTTATATATCTCATTACATCATTATATGAAGTGTTATAGCAGAGAGGATTGTGCATGGGCATTCACTTGCATTATTTTAACATTATCTAGTTAAATAATTAGAACAGCTGCAATTAGATCATAAATGATTCAACTGAAAAGAAGCAGCTTGTTCACGAATCAACAACGCTGTCACGTCTCGATTTCTTCAGTTCAAAATAACAAGGAACAATATGTTTTTTATGAAATTCAGTGGAGTAAAAAGTGTGATATTATGTTTTGGAATATAGTGAAGTAAAGGTTTTCCAAAAGAAAAATATTCTGATAAAATCTGAAAAATGTACTTAAGTACAGTAAAGTAACAGTAAAAATCCATTGTGACATTTTGCGCAGATGAAAAACAGAGGTGGTGTGTGGTGAAACATACCGCAGTTGGCCTCGTCAGAGTTATCCTGGCAGTCGTTGTCTCCGTCACAGATGTACGCTGGGTTTGTACAGATCCCAGTATCACACTGGAACTGACCTGGTCTGCATTTAAACTCAGCTGTTGAAAGAAATATGTACAAATGTGCTTTTATTACACATCTGTTAGTTATGCTACAGGGAGAAAATGTGTCTCCTACAATCCACATCACTCACGGCAGTC